GTTTAGCTCGCCGAGGCGGAGTTAAGCGTATTTCTGGTTTGATTTATGAAGAAACTCGTGGAGTATTGAAAGTATTTTTGGAAAATGTGATCCGTGATGCTGTTACATACACAGAACATGCCAAAAGGAAGACTGTTACAGCCATGGATGTCGTATATGCTTTAAAGAGACAAGGCCGTACCTTATACGGTTTTGGAGGTTAAGCAAATAATCAATTATTGATTTAATAATGCAATAATATATTGCCCAATGGTCCTTTTCAGGACCCAAATAATCTTACACTTAAAGAGATAAATTTACATATATATGTGTTGGTATTTTTCTAATATTATAAAAAAAATAAAATTTATTATTAGCTTGGTCGATTGATGTCTGTCGAGTATAATTGATAATTAAAATGATCAGTTTAACAGAGTCCAAAATATTTATTATTATAATTCTCAATTTCTTTGTTACATTAGCAGTATATATGTGGACTAGCTTCTTACGGGCTTAATTATAATTCTCATTCAATTTTTTTATAGAATAAGATAAATAGAACTGACGTATATAAGTAATTTGCGGACTGTTAGATATTGCAGTTTGAAGTTTCCACACAATGGTGTGAAAATTTTCTCCATTCATTCCTAAGAGGTGGTTTTAGTGAATTCAAATCTCACACTGAATCTGAATCTTAATCTTAATCAAAATCCAAGTGTTCAACAAGCAAAATGATTGCGGGGAAAATGAAAGTGAAAAAAATTCGTATATGAATTAAGTGAATTATGACAATATTATATAAAGAAAAGAAATAAAAGAACTTGTTATTGAAATAAATTAGAATATTTTAAAATTATCTTTAAGTAATTTGCAGCGTCTTGCAAGTGAGTACCGAGTGTGGTGTGTTAGTTATAAATTAACAAGTGTAATTAGAAGCATTATATAATAATAAATAAAATTAGCATAAACCACTATTTTTATTTATTTAAAATAGAATTTAAAAATGAAATTAAGTGAATAAAATATATACAAGTGAGTATTTCATCAAATAAATGACATATTTTGATATATAATATTTTATGGTCATTACTATAATAAATAAATAATTGGATATTAAATATAATAGAATAAGATAAATATTTATTAACTTAAGAATGATGTGAAGTATTGCACATAATGTCTAAATAAGAGAATATAATTTTTTTAAATGCATAAAGAATTTTTGTTTGCTTATTAGAGATTAAATTTATAGCGCATTACAGAATAAAAGAATCTCTTCATATTATTCATGAGGTATTATTAAAAGAAATGATCGTGCACTATGACAAGGTATATTGTGCCCATTACTCGGGTTAGAATGTTTCTCCAAGTCCGTTTTCTTTAATGAAAGACAATATAAAGTCCTAGTCTTGAATATTTATGATCCATGAAATACCCTCCTAGGTGTTTATTCCGTTTGTGCATCAGTGGACACTACCCAAGCACATGGTATACAGTTTCTCTCTTCTCTACAGTATCTGCAGTCTGAGTTGGATTGAATTCCTAACTTCGATAGGTGATTATTCAATCTTTAGTGACCGGTCATTAATAAACGCAATAGGTATACCATATACTAAAACATTTTATAAAATAAATAAATAAATAATGAATCTTCTTTTTACACATATTTTGTAGCCCTAAAAAGGGCTGTTTTGATGAATTTAAAGTTTGATTTTTAAAATTATTTTTTTGCAGCAGTTTTCTTGACTGATGTTTTTTTAACGGCAGTTTTTTTAGGTTTTGCGGCCGCTTTAGCTTTTGTAGAAGTAGACTTTGGTTTAGCTGGCTTAGCCTTAACAGATCCAATCTTTTTAACACTTTTAACTTTAGCTTTTTCAGTTTTTTTCTTTTCAACACTCTTCTTAGCTGCCGCAGATTTCTTAGGTTTTTTCTCTCCAGATACCTTTGCCTTTGACTTTTTAGTACCTGCAGATGATGCAGTAACCTTCTTCTTCGTAACACCTGATGGCACCTTCTTTTTCTTTCCCTCGACAGACGATTTAGGAGACTTAGCAGCAGCAGCTGATAATTTAAATGAACCAGATGCACCTTTTCCTTTTGTTTGTATCAATTTGCCATTAGCTACAGCAGTTTTCAAATATTTTTTAATAAATGGAGCCAATTTCTGGGCATCACATTTATATGTGGCACTTATATACTTTTTAATTGCCAACAATGAAGATCCGCTGCGTTCCTTCAAGTTCTTGATAGATGCATCAACCATTTGTTGTGTTGATGGATGAGATGGAGCTGCAGAAGGTTTTTTTACTTTTGTTGCCTTTTTAACAGCAACTTTCTTTTCAGGAACGGCAGTTACCTCCTTTGGAGAATCTGTATTTGCAACGGCAACAGCTTCAGACATATTTGCTTTTTAATATTCCGTAATATTCTTACTTATGAATATTTTTTCGCATTTTTTTTTTATTTTAAAATGTTGCTTTATTGATAATTTCATTGTTCTTACATAGTTTTCTTAAAGCTAGAAATTTACATTAAATTTTGTACATATATATACAGTTAGATCTTAGCATACTTAAGTATTTTTCTAAGAGTAATTTACATTAATAATAGTGGTATGATAAGATTGAGTTTTAGACTTTGATTACGTTATAGTTTATTTTTTCTAAAAAATTATTTAAAAAAGAAAATAGCCTCGTTTGTTATTTTTTCCTTAAATCTACCTTAGAACTAACTTACGCCTACTATATACAATATTTACAATACAGTTTATAAGATTTTTTACAGTGTTTTTTTAGTATTTATTTTTTTTTTTTTTTTTTGTTGTATATTTCTTTCTAACTAGGTTAGATTAATTACAATGTGAATTGTGCGGTGGAGTACACTGGACGGACAAAGTCATTTGAGGAACCTCTTCTATGGTAGTATAATAATTTATTGTTTTCGAAAAGCATGTTATTGTCGTTAAGGATACCCAGATGCAGTGGCGAGAGATACCTATCTGTCAAAGGAGCCACGATGTCGTGTGCTTTACCAAGGTAACTGTGAAGTAAGTTGTTGTTAATGGTTGACATATTATTTAGGAATCTGATGGCTGCTTGGACCAGAAAGGAGTCAATTCTACCCATTTTGCTATATGTATATAAAAAGCTATTGCTCAGATTGTGATACTGCCCTCCGTGATGCTGCCTAATTGCTGGAGGGATACAGTTTCTTAGCATGTGCCTTTCAAATTTTCTTAGCCTCTCCATCTGGTGGGAGGAGATGTTGAACCAAACCGGGAAGCCATAGCCCAGGAGTGGCCTAACCAGTTGTTTATAGCAATTTCTTTTTATATCTTGCCTTAGGAATTTGGCTCTGCGAAAAATGGATGAGTAGGTAAAGAACGCTTTTCTGGCTTTGTCTAGCGCTGCGTTTACATGGGGTATGAAAGAGAACCTACTATCTAACGTAATACCTAGATATTTCAGCGTGCTACGGGATTGTATTTTCTGCCTATTGATGACTATATTGGGTATGTGCTTTTTCGTGGCAGGAGGTAAGAATTTCTTTAGGCCCTTCACAATTATGCATTGACACTTGGCGACGTTTAATCGCAGTTTCCACTTGTTGAAATACTTGTGGAGTTGCACTAGTTCTTTATTCAGTAAGGTGTTGGCCTGAGAAGCTCTAGGTTTAGAGGCGAGGAGAAGTATGTCGTCTGCATAGATTAACAGCTTGACGTCCTCACTAGCTACTGCAATATCTGCCAACAGAACATTATAAAGTATGGGGCCTAGCAGTGATCCCTGAGGCACTCCTTCACCAACCAATTTTAGTTCGGAGCTATTATCTAGGTGTTTTACAAAGAATTTCCTATTTGTGAGGTAGTCTAGTATTACTGAGCATAAGTGTCTATCAATTCCAAATAAGTTGACCATTTTATAAATAATACCTTCTATCCATGCGGTGTCGAACGCTTTTTCGAAATCTAAGGACACTGCTATAGTAGCTCTTCTCCTGTTCAAATTGCTAGTGACTGAGTCGGCTAGCAGTGTTAGAGCGTGTAGTGTGGAGAGCTTACGTCTGAAACCAAATTGGAAGTCTTTGAGGACATGATTGTTAGTCAGTTGTGTCACTAGGTCTTCCAGAAGGAACTTTTCATATAGCTTACTGATATTGGATAGAAGTGAGATTGGCCTATAGCTGCTTATATGCGAGGCGTCCCTGCCATTTTTTAGCAGAGGAATAACCCTGGCTACCTTCCAGGCGTCTGGGAAGTAGCCCAGATTGTACATTTGATTAAACAGAATGGCAAGGCACCTCCACAATTGTTGGCTGGTCTTTTTTAATATGAAATTGGGGATATTGTCTGGGCCACAGCTTTTCTTATTGTTTAAGGATTTGATTTTAGACCCTATATCTTCTGCAGTGATGCATGGGAGAGTCCTACTAGAAACTGAGTCCCTGACAGCATATCCATCTGCTGTTCTATCGTTACTAAACTGGGTGAGAATTTCAGGATTCCTAAGGAGATTCACCTCTTTTTCAACCTGAGCACCGAACAGGTAGTCTCCCATCTGCTTGTTACCATAGTGTACCTTCTCGAAACAATCTGCTAATGCCTCAACTTTGTCTGAATTGTGTGTGAGTGTTGTGTCATTACCTAGTCTGAGAGGAGGAAAATCTTTGAAACTGCTGATGCCACAGAGCCCTTTGAGGTTTCTGAATGTTCTAGGATTTGGCTTTAGATTCTTGAAGCTATCATTCCATCGAGTTTCTTCGATCCACCTAATGTGGTTAGTGATGATGATGTCTAAGTTGTTACTGATGGCTTTTAAAGTATTTCTCCTGGCTGGGTCGGCACATCTCCATATAGCTCTCCTAAGCCTCTTTTTCTCTTTGATAAAATTTATAACATACTGCGGAAGTTTAAGTAAGCCTCTGCGTCTAACTACTTCTGATGGAACTGCTTTCCTAATTGCATTGGAGATTACTCCGTTAATACCAATAATGCAATTGTCTATTTCGGACTTAGTTGCTACTCTATCTGGTGAAAGTATGTAGGGTGTGATGTGTCCATCAATTTCTTTATTTAGCGTCTTGCAATTGACTTTGTCATAGTTAAGCACAGTCCTAGGAGTGGCCAACTCGAGGTCAGAGGTTTCGAGCACTAGCTCAACAGCCTGGTGATCAGAGTCGCTGTCGAGAGTTCTGAGTTTATTTCCTAGACCACTATGATAGATAGGAGATACTGTAGGTGAGATTATAAAGATATCAATGTATGATTTACACGAGGATACACGGGTGGGTTTGCTAGTGGGAATTAGTAACATGCACATCCTATCAAGCCATTTTCTGAGGTTGTTACCACTTGTATTGCAGATCATCCCACCCCAGTCCCTATGTTTGGCGTTAAGATCTCCTGCTAACACTACATGCTCGGTGCTCAGACTGTTATATAGTAGGTCTAGGTCGCCCTCTGTTACTGTGATCTTGGGATTTGCGTATAGCACGACGAAGCTAATCAGCTCTCCATTGGTTAATTTTAGCTGAACACCTGTGCTCTCAATGTTATTAGTAGGCATTTGAAATACCACATGACTATATCTTTCCTTCACTAATATGGCTGTGCCAACTTCTCCTTTAATGGATTTATCGGTACGAATGATATTGTACCCTTCGAACTTAAGGCGGTGCCGATGGGTTAGTCTAGTTTCAGCCACCATAACAATGTCGGGTCTGTGTTTTTGCAAAAAAAGGTTAAACAAATGTCTTTTACTGTGGGAAACTAGGGAGTTCACATTTATGAATATACTTTTTAGTTGTTTAGTCATGGATGCGCAAATTAATGAACAGATTAAATAATGCTTGGGATTTTTGATCGTCATTGCCTAATTTCTTGTAACTGCTGGCAAAGTCACTAACTTTTTTCAGACATTGGCTGAAGTTACTGCCAAAGATACGGTGACATTCGCTGTCCATTTCGCTTGCTAAGATTGTCTGTACTTTGCTGCCAGAAGTTGCTAGTGGGGTGTGAGATCGTTTTAGGGCTGAGGCGTACGATATTT